TATTTCACAGCACTTCAGATCTCCTGGGCTGGATTTTACAGGTGTGTTCATTGGGCTGTTCTGCTGTTCATAACACAGGTACTCCCACAAGCTGCAAGAACTATTTATCTCCTCTGTAAGATGGGTCATTCCCCTAAGTACTGACTATGGCTTGATTTACTGCCACAGCAGCCTCAAAAAATCCTCTTTCCTCACTACATTCTTCTCACCCTAATGCTCATTCAGCTGGTGCCAGTTTGTGTTGTGTTAAGCTCAGGAAGCAAAATGAGCAGAAAGTCTTTTAAATCAGGAGAAGTGGCTTTGTGTGCCCAAGACCTTCAGCCAGGACTGGTATCCCATTGTGAGCAGGGAGACTCCAAATTTATCTAATTACCACCCCAGAACACATTTCCTGATGGCTGCATTGTGCTTTCTGTGCTTGCACTTGGCAGTGTTTCTGTCAGAACGTTTGGATGAGCTTTACTTGCCTCCTTTGATTTTCATTTACAGATCAGCCATGCCCTCTCAAGGTTAAACCTACTTTGTCTGTCGCTTTACAAACCAATTCTTTGCATTCTTTGGAAAAGTAGCAAATGACAGAAAGTCACACTCCAACACAAATATGCAGTGGTTGTGGGGATGGATTAAAGAATTTTAATGTACTTGTTTGCAATGGTATTTTCAGGACAAATACCAGCAGAGTAAACAACCTGTTGAGGAAAAGTCTAACGTTAGCTTGTATAGGGAAATGTGATTCTGGTGCTAATCTTTTCAGTGAGGTCATTAAATTACATCTAACATACATATCTTCACTTCCTACCTGATGGTTTTATAGCTTACTCTGTTCTAATCTGAATTCTAACCTCTTGGATGCCTGTTCTCGTGAACTTGGCCAGCCAACCCATACTACCTCGTTTCCTCATCCATCTCTCCTTCTCTATTGCTTTTGAACCTACAGCCACTCTTCCCAAAACTCTCTCATGTGAGTGCATTAAGCATCTCCTGTCCACTCGCTGTCTCTGCTTGCCTGAATGTCTACCAGATTTTTTCTGGCTTGCCACTGCCTATGAGGTTCTCTCCAGTACTTAGTATGTGCAGCTATTCAACAGTCTTATTTACCTTGGTCTGTCTCACTAAACAGCACATCTCAGCTCCTTTCTATGACCAATCCATTTCAAAATCTGAGTGGTATATTTATTAATTAACTTAAATAAAATAAACTCACAGAACAATAAGCCAACAAAACTCTGCGTGGGAAAAACTCAAGTTTTTCATGCAACATGATGTAAACCCTTCAGCAGTTGGTGCCTGTCCCACAAACAGAGAGGATTTTCTAAAGACAAAGTAAGTGCAATTTCTCTTTCATTTTGTTTTAAGAGACCATTCAGTACAGATCGAGACAAGAGAACAGAATCTTAGTTAGCTGAAGTCACTGAAACCAAACTAAATTACACAAAAACTCCAGCACCTGGTTTTCTAATCCATACAAGAAGAGGCATCTGTCAAAGCTGGTTCATCTGCCATCTGGCACGTATTTCCTGTACCTGTCTCTAATCCTGGGCTGATTTTTGCTGGCACATTTCCAGAATCAAATAAGGGAATTTAAGCTCAATATTTTAACGTTTCCTGCTTTCTCTGCAAGTCAGGAACTTTTAAACTATATATTTTTAAAAGCTCTTAAAAGTTTATTTTCTAGCTTTATTTTTGGTCAGTGAAAACTACAGAAAAATGGTTTAAGGGTTATTTTGTTTGGGTAAAGTTGCTGAAAGTTTTAGGTCAGTGATAAGACTTCGGCTGCTCTTCTTGACTTCTCTGTGATCTGATTTGGCTTTGGATCTCCTGCTTTTCTCCATTGGTTTTAGTGGGGCAGAAAGGAGTCCAGGATGTGTCTGGTGATCATATCTATGGAGATGTTTAGACACTTTCATTTAGTGTTCCTCCTTCAATGTCCCACCTGATCACTCTTCTCTTGAAACTGGAGCTCTTTACTGCTAGTGAGACTGAATAATAATGAGTGAGAATACTGGGATAGATATTCAACACCCTCTCACTCCAAACTTCAGGACAGTTTACAAATTTTTAGCAAAAATTCTGTTCCTTTTTTGTTTGGTTTTCTGTTAAATGAATTAATTTTCTGCAGCACTTGTTTCCCATATCATGATGGCAGTGTGGCAACAGCATTTCATACCCACTGCTCTTCTGTGTTTCAGAC